CTCCATCATCATCATCATCCATCACCTCCATCATCACCACTACCATCATCATCACAACTATCAAGTCAGTGAAAGGTGTATATTTTCTTTCTATAATGAATTCAATATTGTATATTCACTCTCGACAGGTCCTCTGTTCAGACAGTCAATGAATTCCGTCATCACTGTAATTCATTCTTCATGGAGCTCATATCTCTCCTGTGCTTTGGTGGTGACGTTCACCGGAAGACTTTGGACTCGGACGTTTTTGAGATATTCATGCGTTACATTACCGGAAGAAGTTCATCAGCGACGAAGAGTTTTTCTCCATTTCCTGATTTTGAGGTCGACAAAACTCCTGTCGTGAGRTCATTTCTRCTACAGCAGCTGCTGACCATCAGGTACTGTGGTTATAAATCATATGTAGCCTCATTACCATAACAGGCTCATTAATCATGCATTTGCTTCATCAATTCTCAGTTTAAATGAGGTCAAAAAGTATCTTCAGYGGTATCTCTYAGAYGCGCAGGCGCTATCCCAGGATCGACATCACGTRACGCGAGTATGCCRGCTTGTCGTGGATTGTATTGAGGTTGGTAAATAGAAATGACACTTTGATTGTTACCAGTAATAATAACCATGACTTGACAATGTATCATTTGACTGATGATGACAGAGATGATGATGATGAATGTGGTAATGATGRTGGTGATGATGGCGATGTCGAAAAATATGATGAAAATGATTTGATTTTCTCGTCAGGACTCCACCTCGTCAACATTATCACARCGGGAGCTTCCCAWCTCGATCTTGATTRGGTTAGCAGCATCAATAATAGGAAAGGGAATCGACACATTGCACAAAGTAAGGTACTCAGACACGCTTAGTATCGAGGCTTTGGAGGCAGTAGCAAGAATGCGTCACGTCTTGGGTCTGACTGCCGAGTTCTTGTTCAAGAGCCATGTGGCCAGTGACGAAAAGTTTCAAGAACCAGAAGTGAAATCTGAGCTTGATAAAYTTTTGAATGTTGTTCAAGGGATGTGTGAACAATTGTCTGACCGAGYCCCTCTTGTATACTTGCTGAAACAATTGACCAGAAGATATGGAGCATCGGTTAYCAAAGACTTGACGCAGGATCCAGAGATGTTTTGGTTGATTCCTCGTGAATTTGAAGAGAGACAGGTTAGGGTCGGAAATCTTATTCCTGTTTACCTATTTTTTTAGAAATAGCATGTCTTTATTGGTGATGTCAATTYATCTGCTGTCAGCTGGTCATTTGATGAGTCTTGTGGACCCAATACTGATCTCCGGGGCACTCCAAGATAAACAAGTATTATATATTATATTAATCTATTTGCTCAAAACTTATGGGTTTATCATTCAATTATCTTAATATTCAGATCGATACTTCTTCGGATGCCGATCGGTTTGTCGTTTATAATGAGGAATACACTAGCGTTCGGGATGCTCTTGCAAATGGATTACTGTCCGGGAGTGTTGACGAGTTATCTACTTTAACACAGGTCAGTACTTTGCTTAATGTCAGTACTTTTCCTTTGGTCTGCGGTAATGCTGCATGAATGTTTTTGTGTGTCATCTAGATCGATGGTTCAGATATGAGCTCTACCACAAAAATGGACGTCATGTGTCTGCTGTCCATTTACAGAGAAGTCACGTGTGGTTACCGCGAACCAAGACAACAACTCCAGGCAAGATGATTAGTCATGTTTATTATATAGTCACCGCTTTACATGCGCTCTGATTAGTCAAGAGCTGTGCTGTATAAATGACTGAGGCACAGACGGTTAATATTACAACGTAATGCAGCACTTAGGAAAAGACGAAATCACTTAAGAAGGTTTTTTCCCTGCGTAGAGTCGCATCAATAAGCGGTGAACAAAATAGCCAAAATAGCTGTTTTTTCCCTTAATTAACAATTTATTCAAATTTCATTTAAATTAACATATTAAATGTAAGATTACGGATAAAGCTTCAAAGATACTCACATTAACATTATCAATGTTTTACTTGACAGGAGTATGAAGAACTGCGCGAATTTTTTGACGAGCACCTTTCTCCAGAGGTACACTTGTTAGTTTTAAAGGTTTGCGTTGAAACAAACAGTGCTCTTATTTGAGTGTTGTACATTGCAGGCTCGTCCACTGGCCGTTCAACTTCTRAACAACTCTCACGGTATGGGATTTACAGCTCTGTCTGTTCAACCAGCTCAGCCACGTGACACTATCAACCTAGCTGAACTCGTAGTTCATACGATGGTTGTGCTACAATGCTCAAACGACAGCGATATTACGAATACTTTGAGGGCATTGCTTATGAATCCAGGGTACATGAAGGTAAGGACAGACATGCCTTATTCAACGCCAAAAGCCTGATACTCATTATTCATAGTGCAACCGCCAGCGTGAAGCCGTTTCAATGAGTTCTTTACATTAGTATTTTCTTATTTTAGATRATACTAGAAAATGACTGTCGTAAATCGCTTTCTCATTTGTCATGGCGCGTGCTATGTGAGAAAACACGCTATGTGTGCGCATTTTGTTTTGTATTCCTTTASTCGCATGCAGTGCGTGTTTCAAAGACTTCTTGAGTGTTCTGCACACAACAATCGCGCGCGCGTTTTCTCTTTCTTGCTAGACGCACTTTTTTTAACAGTTTGTCGTGTTCTGACAATCACTTCGTGCTTTATAACTGCACACAGCACATCAGGTAAGCGTTTTATCTCTTCACGGCTTCACGATGCTTGATGTTGGTGTTTTATAGAATTCGTTCCTTCCAACAATGCCTGAAGACGATTTCGAAAGTGTTCGCCGGGGACTTATAGAGCAGGTCAAGTGGTATGGTACGTATCTCAGTTGGTGGAGATAAGCAAGTAAAGCTGGTATTTTTGTATTGATTTTTAAAACTTTTTTCTAATAACAGAATGTCCAGAAGGCCACCGCTACTCCATCGGAGATGTAAGTTGGTACTGAAAACGTTTAGCTAGTTTCGAGTGGGAAACGATACAGTAATTTGTAGCCTGCATCTACTGTGATTGCATCATGTAGCCGTATCTACGAATCATGTTTGGATGAAATACTGGAAGACTATAGAAAGCCATTTCAATGTTACGGCATGTCATACCATGCAGGTGCTGTTAGTCAGTGCCGTGTTTCCCGTCTCATACGATAACCATTCTTATGGCAAGCCCTTTCARTGTTGACGGCAAGTCGTACTGTGTACATGGTGTAAGCCAGTACCGTGCGTTTCTAATAATGTATAACTATTCATACGGTATTCCCATTCAAATCAATTATAGATAAGATACTAACGGATTGGTTTGTTTCTGTTGCTAGTGCGGTAATGCAAACCAGGAATCAGTCTGTCCTGAGTGTAAGTCAGGTATTGGAGGGACAGGTTACAAACTGCTACCAGGAAATGCACCGTTACCTGATCAAAAGTAAGTACATGACATGCTGCTTTTACCAAGCTGAGTATGCATTATTGGCCAGTAATAGACACACCCGGTATTGACTGATAATGACGGGAGAGGGAGAATGTCGAACCACAATCCTTAGCGCCTGCGCTGAGATCTTGGTGTTTGTTTTGTTTTACAGTGCGGATCGATCGAATCGTGGCCATATTCTTGGTAATGCGAATATGRATCAAGCTTCATCTGCGGTGCAGCCTGGACGAAACCTCTCTCCTGCTGTCGTTCATACCATTCGCCTGATCATGCATTCAGCGATGTTAGTGGGAGCCTGCAGACATCCTCAGGTGAGGTTACTCCATCTCCTTGAATGTTACAGTGACTTGCAACAAAGGAGGTGTTGGCAAATGTCAATCCATGACATCCAATAAACTAGTGTCGTCGAGAACTTCGTGCTTTCCTACAATGCCATCAAAACACTTTGATTGATGTCCACCTATTTGTCTAGACAACAAATTGTAAGGCTGCAGTGAGATCGTCCTAAATAGAGCAGACTGGGAAAGGCTTATGTTACAGGATTTATGACATCAGTTAAACCAATCACAGAGCATAACGTTATTGTTTATCCAATCAGAATACTCTTTCACACARCTTTCCCGTTGGTCACAAAGTATATTAAATATTACTCGATTTTTTGTGTATTTCGTGACAGGAATCCTCTCAGATCTTCTCGCCTCGTGTAGAGCCTGAAAGACTGAAGCAGTTTCTCTGGGCACATTTGACACATGATCTGCGTGGCCTATCAGCAGCCTTGAATCGTAATGAAGACGAAGCATTGTTAACAGTGCACTTTGTTTTGGCCCAAATCACAAGAAATACAACACATGGTAAGGTTTAATCAGGGGATCCACTCGCCTCTCACCTCTGGGGTCTARTGACTTGGCATTAAATGTGAGGAGAGTTTGTWAAGTCTCTCCCTTGATTTGGGGGCAAATTTTATACGGTTTCTCCTAATTTCTTTCTTCCACAAAACCTAAACTTAACTGTACATGTTTCCTGACTTTAATAGTATAAAGGTTCGAAACTGCCACACGCAACCATCAATACTTCAAATCAATACCCTATTCTTTGACTTTCCATAGATTATTCACCTGGAACCGGCGTTCTTGATTCAGCAAGAGCTCGCAGGCAGTGGGAAGAGGAGTTCTCTTCAAGGTTCATAGAACCAGTTATTTCAGTAAGTTATTCCTGGCGTGATCTTTACCTAGTTAAGATAGATCTTCTTTGCAGTGTTAGGTCTCCTTATTTACCGTATAACTGCATTAGCACACTAGTGGGCGTATAACCAGATAAGAGTGATTTTAAGGTTGCAACTCTTTTTGTTGAATTATTCAGACTTGTGATGAACGAATACAGGCCTGTTTAGACGCCATGACAAATGACAGTCGTGTAGGCACTGATCCTCTCATGAGAGAGGTCTATGAACTGGACAACTCTGGTACAGAGCAAGAAGAGGAGGAGGAAGAGCCTCAACGGTTAAGCCCCATGAAGAGATGCTTTTGGCGATACAGACCATCCATTACTGTAGAAAATGCCAAGCAGAGATTCTCAGAAAAGATGAAATCTGATAAAAAGATTCAGAAGTGTAAAATACTGCAGCATTTCTTCAAAGAGGTACACTCTACAAGTACAGTACCACCACCATGCATCACATGGCATCAACACCACCACCACCAACATTACCACCACCACCACCAC